ATTAATTTTTATTTTGAGATATAAATCTTTTTGTACTGAATTATAATAAAAATTAAATATAAATTTATAAATTAATTATTTTATAAATTATATATTTATTATTTTTTTCTTTTTAAATATAATTCAATATAAATATAATATATAAAACTAAATTAAATACTAATTTTTTTATCTAAATATATATATTAAATAAAATTTGATTTATTTTATTATCTATTTAAGCATTTCATATCTTATATAATACTAATTTTTTTGATATAGGTAAATTAGATTAATATAAATATTAATATTAATTTTTTGTAAAACTTGTTATATTTTATTTTACAAGTTCTTTTTATTTAAAATTTGGTTAAAAATATTATAAATAATAATCAATTTTGTTTTATAAATATTTAATAAAAGTCAAATTAGAAAATTGTAAAAATTAACTTAATATTTTTAATTTTATTATTTATAAATTAATATTTTATTAAATTTATTAAATATTTAAAATTATTATCTTGTTAAAATATGATATTTTTAATAATTAATTTATAATTTATAAAATCTTTATAAAGTATTAATTAATATAATTCTATATTTATTATATTATTAATTTTGTAAAAATTACTAATATTTTAGAATATAAAGTAATATCAAATAATTACTATCCATTCCAAATTTTATTATAAATTTAATATAATAATATTACTTTTTATTTAAATAAAAAATCTTAAATTGAATTTATTCAATTATATAATTTTTAATAAATTTTAAATAATTTAATTTTTGTAAATTTCAACTATTTTATTTAATATTCTTTGTTTAAATAAGAAATTTTTTTATTTTTTATATCAAATTATTATTTTATAATATATAATATATAATAAATAATAGAACTGAAATATTAATATTATTTTTTTATATATATTACAAATAAATATTTTTAAAAAATAATTAATAATATTTTTATTAGTATATTTATATTAAATAATTAATTATATTTTTAAAAGAGTATTATTTTTATTATCTTTTATTAATGTAAAAAACTATTAAAAAATTAATTTTTTTGATTTTGCTATTTGTTTTATATTATATTTATTTAAAAAAGGAATTTATACTTATTCTTTTAAAGTTATATAATAGTTTTGTATTTTAATTTTTTTAATTAAAAAGCTATAATATAATATAATATATAATTAAATCTCTTTATAGTTATTTTTCTTAAAAAAGTAAAATTTGGTGACTATAAGAAAAATATAATTATAGAGAAATTTATTTTACTATATTTATATATAAATAAAAAAGCAAAATAAAATAATTATAGAAGTGTTAATTATTAATATATATGAATATAAAGAAAATTAATTATAAAAATAATATTTAATAAAATTATTTTTATATAATATTTATATAATATATTTATAATTATCTAATCTAATTATATATTTATTTTGAAATTAAAAATAATAATAATAATTATTAAAATTTTAATATATTAACAAACAAAAATCGAAAAAGATATTTTCTAATTTTTATAAAATATATTTCGATTTAACAAAAATTATTTTGTTATATTAATTACTAAATATTAATAATACTTTAATATTTGTTAAATATTATAAAAAATATTTATATTTATTTTTAATAAAAAAGTATAATTTTATTTATTTATTTTTTTTTATCTTTAAATTTAAATAAAAATAAGTAAGCTTAATGAATAATTAGTTAACAAGTTATTAATTTATTTATATTTGTTTAGCTTTTAAGAATAAATAAAATTAAAATATATTAAATATTTTTATAAAAATAAAAAAATTAATTAAAATAAATAAAAAAATATATTTATTATTATTATTATTATATTATTATTCAATTATTAATTTAATTATTAATTTTATATAAAATAAAAATATATTTATATTAAATTTAAAAGAAAATATTAATAATTTAAAAGTTTGAAAAAAATAAAAATAAAATAAAAAAATATTTAATATATTGCTTAATATATTAAAAATAATATAAATAAATATAATAAAAAATAATTAAATATATTAATTATAGTGGCAATTAAAAATAATATAATAATGTTAAAATTTATTAATTAAACAAAATTAATCAACTTTTTTGAAATTTTTTAGCATTTTATATAAATTATCCAATTTTAAAAATGACATTTAAAGAAAAAATTCTTTTTATTGAACTATAGTCAAACTTTTCTATAATTATTACTCTTAAAAAAGCAAAATTTTGTAACTATAAATAAATATAACTATAAAAAAGATTCTTTATTATATTTATATAAAAATAAAAAAGCAAAATAGAATAATTATATAATGAAATAACTATAAATATGTGTGACTATAAAGAAATTTAACTATATTATCAAGCTAAAAAAAATATAAACTAATTATTTATAGAAGTTTGCTTTAATATTATTTTAAATAATTTGAAATTTTGCTTATAAATTATCTTGCTTAAAAGCAGATCAGAAAGTTATTATAATTACTAATCAATTTTATTTCAAAAATTTTTGATAAGATTCAAGTTAATAATTACAATTAACTAGATAAGCTTTATTTATAAGTAATTTATATTAATTAAAAAAATATCTTTTCTGATTTAATAATATTTACTAATTAATAAACTTATAATAATTAACTAAAATTCTTTCAAAATCATCTAATAAATATTACTTTTCTAACTTATTTAACTTTTGATTAATTAATTATTAAATAATAATTTTTTTTATTATATTATTGTTAAAGATATTATTAACTTTTAAATAATTAGTAATATTAATATTTTATATAATAATATTAAAATAAGTTACTTATTAAATATTTTATTTTTTAATAATTTTTAGCATATTATTATAATAATAAAATTATAAATTCAAATTATTTTGTTATAATAGCTAAAATCAAAGCTCAACTTGAAGAAATATATATCAATTTTAAAATAAATAAATAAATTATTTATAATAAACTTTTCAGACTTAATTATATTATTACTTTGTCAAAACATATTTTGTTTCTTACTAAATAGATCAAAAAAAACTAGTTATAATAAATATAGAATTACTTATATTACAATTAGTACAAAATAATATAAAAATTTTGCAGATATTTTAGAACACTTGCTTGGTTTGTCATATTCTAACAAGTTTATTATACCAATAGTAAATATTAGCTTCACATATGATAAGTAATTTGTATATATAATAAAATTAAAATACACATATTTGTGAAGAATATGAATTGATATTTTTATTAATAATTTCTCAATAAAAATCTGTATAATAATGTAACTATGTAATATCATGTTTCTTTAAAACTTCATGGAATTAAAAAAAAGAATCATAATAATTAGTAAGTGAGCTAAACTAAATGATTTATAATTAAAGAAGCACTTTAAGGATTTTAAAGATCTCTTGTAGTAAATTATATGCAAACTAACTAAAATAATAGTTATTCAAAGAGAAAAATTGATTAAATAAATCAACTATTCTCGATATTAATTAAAAATAAAAACAGATAAAACTTATTAAGACTATCTAAATGAAAATAATAAAACTTATTAAAATTATTCTTAACAAAAATAATAAAAGTATGGCTTATTTAGAATAAAGAAATCTTTTACTACTTATATGTAAGATTTAAAGTTAATCAAGTGAAAAGATTTGTTAATAAGTAAGTTATTTTACAAGCTGACACTTTTATTGATTAGAGCATGTCTATCTGAAATTCAAGAACATCTCTATATATACAAATTTAACTTGGTACATCAAGTATAATTAGATATTACACTAATTATCACTCGAATGTTTCTTAAACCTCTATGTTATATTTACTCATATTATTGAATGTTTCCAAATGTTTTTTGTATATTTAGATGATATTTAACAATATTACAAGTATTTTTCACATATCTCTTAAAATAAAATGTTCCTAACATTTTTAATAAATGCCTCTAATATTAATAATCATCAAAGAATGTTCCAAAATGTTTCAAACATTAACAATGATTCGAATATGTAATTGGATAATTATAGTTATGATATTCATGTTAAATTAAACAAAATTACGAAATTAAAGAAATTAATGTTAATATGATAACACTAGCATATACAGATATTAACACTGGCTTTTTCAGCAGGATAATGATCCTAAACACACCTCAAAAAATGTTTACACTAACCTTGAGTTGAAGTTGCCAGATCGTGTTCTGTCCTGGTTATCATATAATCCAAATTTTATTTTAGATCACGTGCACAGTACATTTTATTCGCCATGGCTAGGTACTATGATCACGAGATATTACATCACCGTTTTTAATCCGGAAATTTTATACCTGGGGATGTTCCAGAAAACAGACCAACTGCTGAGGAACTTGGAGATTTTATCTACTCTATCTACAATTTCAATGGAGAGTGGAAACTGAATACTTCGCATTTTCAGTACTACAACTCTTTAGAATGCGATAAACTTGACGTTGATGATGATGCAAAAGAATATCGATATTGATACGTAACAGTAAACAATTACAAATGAACTTCTGTTTCTATACCATATTGGCATGTTAATATTGAATATTTAGTGTCTGTTATGTTCCAAACGAAGATAAATTTACTATTTGGTGCAAAAAAAGATTTCGATTTTTAGTATACCAAAAGAATCGAGTGTCCTACACAAATTCACAATGAAATACTACAGTACGTATCGATATTCACTCAATAACCTGGCTGGAGATTGTAAATTGAACCTGAGGCTTCAGTTGATTATAAGATTTTGATGAAACTTTCAGTCACAACATGTATTTCAAGAAGCAAAAAAAAAAGAAATACATTGATGATATATATAGAAAGCCACACAGCAGAAAGTGTACTAATTAGAAAATAAGATATATGGTTTTTTTAGTGTTTTAAAATATATTTTTATCAAACTGTCTAAATTCAATTGATTTTTCTATTTAATAAATCAAAGGAAAAGAAAAAATAAAACCTTAAAGGAAACAGCAAATCAAAAAACTGCATCCGAATATTCACCATACATATCAAACCAAAGATTTTTACTCACAATCACCAAATGCTTTTTGGCCTCCTCTAACAATTGACAATCGAAAATTTCCTCCAAAACGCAATTATTCTGCGCACCAAACCCGATCCGCTTGAACCGTTTATCTCGTTTCGCATGCTCGATAAGTACTTTAAGATGTTCATTTGTCAGATCCAAAGTCTCGACCATTCCAAATTGCTCAAGTGGCGCTCTACATTTCTGGAAAAAGGAACGCAAAGCTTCGGCCGAAACGCGAAAATTGACACTCAGCATTTTCAAATTAGGTTGAATCGAGTCAGCTAATGCAAGTAAGACTGGTTCGGTATTGCACGGACAAACGCATCGGAATCGTACACTTAATTTCTCTAGGTTCGTACATCGCGACAGCAATGGTTGAATGTAATTTATAGTGTCTAGCTCGATTCGGATTCCAAAAGAAACCAAATTCGGACAATACTCCGCGATGGTTTCAAATACCGCAGGCGGATTACCTTGCATGACGATAACGAGATCCGTAAGATTCGAATTTGCAAATCGAATAATTGGCGTGCAGTCGAAATTCCATTGTGGGTCGTAATTTTCTTCGTTCATAAAATAGAGCTTTTTTATTTTCATTGTTGAATTCAATAATGGTATCCAGATTTCCTTTCTTATTTTGCTGCATTCGATAAAAACCAGCGTATCCAAATTATGCAAGTATTTAATTTCTTCAATGGCTTCCTGGTTTAAATAACTCCACTTGAATTCTAATCGTCGCAGTGAGTGAGCCTGCGCATGTAATGCAAGAATAAATGGTCTTGAATTAGCGGACCAAGCTTCAATAATCACATGCTTGATTCCATCTTGCACCGCGATGAGATTAAGCAACTCCTGTTCCATGTCATAAGAGAAGCCGTCAATTTTTACATTAAAAAAATTAATCTTTTTACAAATTTGCGACATAGTATTAAACATTTGTGAAATATTGACTTTCTCTTGTTCTCTATATCGCGTGGAATACTGACACATTACGAATGCCTCAATATGCGGTAAAACACGCGATGCTCCTTTATAATTTGTCACGTTCGGAATATCAATTGTATCATGAGATTTTTCAACACTGAGAACTTTTATTGCTTTAGCGCGTAACATTATCAATTGTAGCAGTACTCGGATTATTACAACACCTTTATAGTTTCGAAAGCTTTTTATGTCTTCGGGTTTGATTGAGGAGTACCATGATTTCACTATTAAATTCAATTTCTTAAAGTCGAGCTCTGTGATAAATCTGGGATAATCGAAAAGAGTTCGTACTCGTTTTCTTGCTGGTGGTCTTGATGATGTTGATGTGCCTTTTGATTCTCTGGGGTTGATGATAATTCCTATTTTAACAAGCGTCTCCATTTGATATCTATTTAAACAGGATACAAGAGTTTTTACTAGTGCAATATCATGTGCAGGATTTCGAAAAAATCTGAAGGGACGTGACCAGAGCAATGGAATTATGAGTCGACACCAAGTACGATTAACTAATGAGCATGAGAATAATGTGGATCCGTCGTCGATGATGTGTTTGAATATTTCATCGAGGACTTCGATCGGAAAGAAAGGTATATTTTTGTTGTTATTGTTGTTGGTGTTGTATTTGGTGATTTTGTTATTGTAATTATTATTGTAGTTATTATTGTAGTTATTATTGTAATTATTATTGTAATTATTATTGTAATTATTATTGTAGTTATTGTTGTAGTTATTATTGTAGTTGGAGACTTTGTAATGTTTCTTCTGGAAAGACATTATCGTTATAACAAGAAATATTTCTTGTGCAAGTGTGGAAAGAGTATCAGTATATATAAATAAGAGTAAACAAACATGATGCTTATTAAATGTAAGGTGTCTGATATAGTAAAGATTCTCGATTACAAAGGTTGTACAATTTTACGATGTTTGTCTACATTATCACATGATCATCTTAGCTATCGCTATTACGTACTATCGTTATTGCTATGCTTTTTCTGTTTTTTCTTGACGTCATGTTGTATAGGCTTTCGGTTTGTACATGTCGATGTAATTAGATTACCAATCACCCAATTTATAACACTAATTCGCAAATAACGCCTTTGCATTTTTATATGAAATTCAACCCACATTTAGTATAAACTCTTAGTGCGATGGCGCCCGTTTGTCTGAATGCATTCCTTAATTATAATTTTAATATTTAGTTTCCATTATGATCAAAACAGACCGAGTAGAACCGGACGGCGCCATTTCAATGACGATAATTTTTTGCGTGTATTCAATATCGATATTAAATAATGGTCATATTAAACCCATTGAAGAAGTCGTACGTACATGTACATGTACTTGCTTTTGTGTAGCCAATTACATGTAATTAAAAAAATATCATTGAACTCTGAAATCCCATCAACTACATGTATACGTATTTCGTCGTATCTTGTGCCGCTTGAAGTGGTTATGGCGCGGCGGAATTACAGAAGGAAATTGACGTTGAAGCAAAGAATAATACATCGGTACAGTTCTTACCGTTACTACTTTTTGTCAAATAGGTAACATTGTTAATTTACTAGAATAAACTGTAACATCTTATTGCTTTGAGCTCTACACAAATAGAAAAGGCTGGTACGCTAGCGGTTTTTTTTTTGGTGAACTTCCGAATTTCCTTGAGGTTTATACGTATGATTTTCTCCTAAATTCAATGACTTATTAGAAATTCACTAGGAAATCCGGAATTCCTCCAGAGTGCCAATCATTTTCTGTGTTATCGACTACGTATTTGTGTTATGTTCTTTAATTCACATTTTCACCGTAAAATATTTTGATTTACGGAATTTAAATTTTCCAATTTCGATCGTTTTTATAACGATAACGATAATGTTTTGAGTTTAACACAATATCCATCTTTATTTGTACACGATGTGGAGCTAAAGACTAGATATTTTATATCAATTAAATCTTAAATAATGCATTTTCTTTTGCATTATAACACAAGCAGTCCTTTCGGGTCAGCTGGTTGAAGATTCTTAATACGTAAAAGAAGCATGAATCACAAAATAGTAAAAAATCATCGAACTCTGAAATTTCGTGTTGATTACCGTTACTAGAAACAGGTATCTTGGACTATAATGACACTAAAATTGGTGACATGAAAACCCTACGATATACAATTTCTAGTTTTTATTTATTCAATGCCAACCTACAATTAAAAACACCGACTCATGAATACTTTTTTTTCTCTATTTATAACTTAATATAAAAAATCTTTACTTGTAAATAAACAAACATTATCCATAATTTTATCAGGCGCAAACATCCGGTGGCTCTGAATAACCCACCTTCACGCCAAATAAGAACTTGAAGATGGTGTTGGGGGATCGTGTTTTTGATCATACATGCACATTGAGTAATTTCTGGCTTTTGATTCAAATGGGCGAAACTATTGTTTAAAATCTGAAACATTTCGCTCAGTGAACTTTTGGTTTCGCTTGTGGAACAAATCGGGCGAAACTAATTGCGCCCGAAACACTGACGCATATACAAAGAAAGATATCCTTTAGATTAACAGTCATATTGACAAATGGTTAAAAAAAGTACCGGTACGGTATACTCGGCCAATGGTATTTTTAATCCAGAATTATTATATTGTTCAAGTAAATGTATTTCGTTCATTGTTTCAGCAGACAAAGGTACAATTATAAAAATTGAAAAGTGACTGAAATTTGGGAATTTTCGTAGAAATTCAAACTGATTAGTAATTGCTGTCGAGCAAGAGTGACTCAATCGTTTCGACGACCCCAAGTTCATCCTGGTGACAACCCATCTTCCTTCAATCACACCAGCAATCAGCGCACGCGCCGATTGCAATAGTAAACAAGAAATGGACGAAGGATGAACAAGCACCGAGCACAACACAAAGAAGCGCAAGGTCAGTGCGATACTGGTCCATGCTCGAAAAAAGCAGCAGATGGAGTGGTTAATGAGAAGCCTGAAAGTGAGGGTGTATCCAAATGCAAAGCAGGACCTAATGAAGAGGTCGATGTGGTGTGCCAGGTAAAACAATCTTCTTATAGTTCTTTCTTTACTACTTTGTATACAATTGTTATTGATGCATTCCACAATAAAGATCATTTGCTACCTAACTCACTTCCGCAGCCTTTGTCAGCAACGGATTGGTGATGGCACTTAGGCCTTTATAGCAAAGGTTCCATACAATGTGTTGGATGAAGCAATAAAGGAGGCAATCCAATCTCAAGGTCTTATTCATTCAAGGAATCAGGAGGCACGAGCGGCAGGGCAGCAACCATATCATCAACTCTCGTTTCGCAGTCGTAAGGCGCCTCGCCAGACTATCACGATTCGCAAGTAGAACTGTGTGAAAAACCTCAAGTTCTATCCTCGCACTGTCACAAACGATGATTCTCTGCCACCCATCCGCCTCTTCATAATGAGTATCGTAAGAAGAGACACAACTGGCCGAACTTAGAAGAACGGGGTCAATAATGATTCCAAACTTATGTGGGATAACAGTGGACATTCATTTGGATTTATGAGAAGAGCTAAGTAACCTCCCACAGAACCAAGTGGGAGGTCTTCACGTCTGTTTTCTAGATCCAGGTCCACACATTTATAACTTGGTGAGTAATGATCAGCTTGATTTCATACCATTTGAAAAATAGCTAACTGACATTCATATATTTTTTAGGTAACGGTGATGCTCAAAGACTTGTTCGCCTTTGTTTCAATCTCGATAACCTCATTTTCCGGACGACTCGACAATGTATTTGCAATCTCATTGACGAATGCCATCATAAGACCGCATTGTAACTTGTACATACCTACCTTTGATGTAATTGTCATTCCGGCTTTTAATAGTTGTCAGATAGCTCGTCGATGACATCGTAAGAATCAACAGCAAGATTGTACGTAAAATAATGACTTGGGCACACGGACGGTTTCGCCAAAGGCTGATTTCAAAGGCCCGAGAGCTTAATAAGGATGGATGTTGTGGTGGTTAATGAGGCATATGCGAACAAAGCATGTAGCAATTGTGGGTGGATACATCAGAAGTTAGGGGACGAAAGATATTTAGATGTGGAGAGTGTGGATTGAGATACCAATGACGCCCAAGGGATCTTCCTTCGTGCTTTGTTGGATGAGACTATTCTATTATAGGTACAGGTTGGATGATTGTAGGCGGTTTGTCTATTAATGGCCAACGCTGTCTATCATTGTATGATTGAAGCCATCCGGTGTTGCACTGGAATCAAAGCAATTGTCAAAAGTATTTAAATTTTCAAATAACATGTATAAATAATACACTTTGAAATTCAACTCATTTAGCATTGACATTGACATTGGTTAATTCATAGAAGTTGCATTTTTTGTAATCATTAAAGGATTGAGCCCTACGAGACTTGTACAAGAACAATTTGAGATTTTGAGCATTGCGAACATCCTTTACGTTAGCTCCCCAAGGATGTTAAATGGACCTACTCAGTCATAGTGTCAATTCAAAATTTTGACTTTCATGATGAAACACCGGCTTTAATTGGTTTAATTAACCGATTTTGATGATGCTGTGTGAATTGATATGTTCTATAAAGAATTGTGTAACAAGATACGTACATGTATTTGTTTATTTATACATAACGATAATCCTAAATTTGACACTTTCTCGTTGCTCTTTCTTTTTGTAATCAATGTCGGATATGACGGATAATGTCGAGGTAAAATTGTACACATAAATCGTTTATTATAAACGTGCGTAAAAATCTAAAAATCTAAAATCTACATATAAGATAACAAAAAATCCCAAAGCTCCCTATGTTAGCTCCTATCCTCTCATGATCCTTGCTTTTCTCGCGGAATGGATTCCCGGGATATCCAAATATTTATTTTACGATTCGGGTTTTGCCGATTTACGAAAATTCAAATATGAAGATTCATTGACCAGCATCCCGCTTCCACTGCCAAAAGAAAAATTCGGGCTTAATAAACTTGAGGTTGCTCTTTTTTGAGATCACGTGCAAATCTTGAACATTAACAATCAAGTTAATCGCGGTCTTTATAGCACCCAGTTGTTGGATTAGAAATTTTTGATGAAAAAGGAATTAGCCCTGAATCTATTGGAAGCACTGGATATTTGACAGCATGGCATTTGCGTGAAGCGTATCTGTCTGGTCGTATTACTCCTTCACAAGTATGTTTGATTGAAATTTTTATTGATTATTGGATGAAAAAAATAAACCGTTATAAACTTTTTTTAGGTGGCAGAAAGATTCCTCGAGAGAATTGAGGCTGCACATACTTGTACATCTCCCACAGAACCATCAATCGAAGGTTTTTATCAATATGAAAAGGATGAAATTCTAAAACAAGCGGAGGAATCCACCGCCCGATATGCTCAAAAAAAATCACTGGGTCCACTTGATGGTGTTCCTATTGGCGTGAAAGATGAATTGGATGTTAAGGTTTGTTTTTTTTATTAGCTAACCAAGTTTATCTATGTTGCTTCATCATACATTTAAAACAAATAGGGATTTGAAACACGCGTTGGAACTATTTTTATTAATCGTGGAAATAAAGCGCAACGAGATGCAACGCTTATTCATCGATTGAGAGAACGAGGAGCAATAATTGCTGGAAAAACCAGTATGCATGAACTAGGAATGGAGTGAGTTTACCTTTAATCCAGATTACAGATTACAAATTACAAAATCTCTCATATAATAATGAAATTTCATATTTTAATTTATAATAGCATTACAGGTAATTTATTGTTTGATTCTAATCAGACTCATTGTTCGTGCCTAGAAACTCGCATCATTATTATTTTTAAATCAGGAAACAATCCGAAGGCAAAGACGCCAAGAAATCCCTACGATCCAAATCACTATTGTGGGGGGTCTAGTGGTGGTAGTGCAGCAATTGTAGCATCTGGACTTTGCCCTATTGCTATTGGGTGCGATGGTGGTGGATCAGTGAGAGTACCGGCATCATTCTGTGGGGTTTATGGTCTAAAGCCAACAACGGGACGAATTTCTTCGATAGGAGAATGTGAGCATAATTCATTTATCGTATTACTTACTACCTTGTCCATGTTAACGGAGAGAAAGAAAAATTTAATATACGAATAACGAAAACCAATCAGAAAAAGAAAAAGAATTTTACCTTTTTATGATAAATTAATCTTTTTTCTGCAGTTCCATTTGCGTGGACATGTGCGGTACCGGGACCATTCGCCTCAAGTGCAGATGACTTGGCTTTAGCTTATTACGCGATTGCAGGAAAAGATCCAGAGGTTCTCATTTCTCTAATCTAAAAAGTTACCTTGTATATTTCTTTCATGCTGATATTCATATGGCTTCAAAACTCTGAATTAAATTGTTTATTTAGGACCCAATAACTTACCATCAACCTTCACCAACTCTTTACGGTTTCTATTTGACCAATACACTCTCCGATCTAAAGATCGGTATATACTCTGCGTGGAATCGACAAGTGCTGAATCCTGCTATAACGACTGTATTGCATGAATTTATTGATGCTTTCAAACTTCGAGGCGCTCAATTCGTCGAAATTGAGATACCAGAATTAGAAGAAGCGCGAAATGCGCATCTAATTTCAATCTTGTCGGAAGTTCATTCTAGTTTGAATCGATATAAAGAACATCGAACTAAAATCACTTATCCAAATCGTATTATTCATTGTATTTTGGACCATTTGACTGCTTCTGTAAGTTAATAAATGTATTATGTAACGTTGAATTCTAATTACTTATCAATCCTTATCCTATTTCTTTTTCTCAAAGGATTACAGTAAGTATCTGATTTTTCTTCCTACCGAAATTACATACATAATATAAGAAAAATTATTCATTCATTGAATTTCAAATTTTAGTACAATCTCAACAAGTTAGAACACGAAGCATGCGTTACGTATCAGATTTGTTCGAAAATAGCGTGGATTTAATCCTCACACCAACCACCGGCATCACTGCACCTCAAATTTATCCACGTTCCTTACTTCACGGCGAACTAAACGCAAATGTCAGCGGCAATGGTGTACGTTACGTACAATTGGCGAATTTGACCGGAATTCCTGGAATCAATGTGCCCGCCGGCTACGACGACAAAGGACTGCCAATTGGGTTGCAGTTTATGGCGAAATGGTATAATGAGGCTTTACTGTTGAGAGTCGCTAAGACGTCGCAGGAGATATTGGGTGATCGGAGAAAACAACCGAGAGAAGGGTTGTGGTTTGGTGATTTGTTATAGTGTTGAATTTTATATTTAATTTATCCGTAAACAGGTCTTAATATATGCAATTCATCATTATTTAATTCCGTTTTCTATACATAATTATAGCAATATATTCTATATGGTGGTTTGTCACCTACATAAAAGTGATTATCGATTTGTGTATTGATACTGATACGAATTTGGCCCTCGTTTCAACTTTATTATATGCATTGCCTTTAATTTTTACATGTTACGTTCGTATATCTTTTAGACTAATTCAAAAACTAGTTTGAATTTGAATTTCTAAATATACAATGATTTTATTGTTTTAAGAGAAAAACAGGTTAACAAGTTGGTTCGTGTGAAAAATTAGAATGACAGCGCGCGTGTCTGAGAAATTTTGATTAGATGTACATGTCATTGCGCGATATTTCTCAAGTTATTCCAATACTCGTAAAATCCCTTGCGACATACTTCCTTTTTCTTACCATATAAATGGAGGCATTAATTCATTTTGCAAAATTCACCGATATACATGTGCATGATAAATTTTGACAATAATCAAAGAACGTAAGAATAGTAACAATAACAATAACGATGAATCGCCATTATTCTTCTTATTTTACGACAACTAAGAGAAAGTTTTCTATAAATATTTTAAAATACCACAGGTGTCAATTATGATAGAATGAATAAAAATACGCATAGCATAGCCTGGCCTGGACTTTCTCTATGCGTATGATACCTCTTTACTCATTCCCCAAAATTTATGCTTCTTTAGCTATTGATTGTCACAAGATCGAATTTTCCATATGATTTGAAGCAAATGATAACGCATAACACACACATAAAACCAATGACGCACACATAAACCCATAACGATAACTACAATATATGTCTAGGCCATATGAAAGGGACAGCAAGAGCGTATAATGCCTGTGGTTCTTTTTGTATTTCTGCTGTTGTCACTACCACTACTGCTTATTGGCGATTTCGTAATGGTAGTCTCCTGCCTACTAAGCACTTCTACTTACCACTTTGAGATATCAAAGAACGGTGAAAATCTCGGGGTAGGAAAATTTCTAGATGCAATATGACAGTTTATGATTCTTGTTATTGTTATTGTTATTGTTATTATGATTATTAGGTAGGTTGTCAAATTGCGCGAGTATGTCGTGTATCGTTTACAGTAACCCCACACACATCTATCTCGAAAGTAGAATAGTCCGTAGCTCTGCGAATCCTTTTGTATAATGGATGCATCAGCTTTTCGTTCTTCATTCAGTGATTGTTCTTGCGCTTAATTACCTATCACCAGTTCTTTTATGTTGTGTTACGATTACAATTAAATGAAAGAAAAACATATCCGCATAAGTGATCGCCTAAGTGATCACTGATAAGATTAGCTCGAATGATTTGTGGGTGGAATTTGTCAGCATTGGCGATGATTATTCCTTGAAAATTATCAGATTTTGTTGCATGCGCTTGATTTGTGGAGAAATCAAACGGTAATCTTGAGTGTGATGACGGGTTAAGAATGCAATTCAACTACGTAATGTCTAGCTATAATCCCCAAAGAAAACATCACCCAGTGGCTAAATATGCGCGTTACGTATTCTGTCAAAATTAATCGAATGCACAATTGAAGAAAAAATGCTTTGTTTTGTTTCGTTTGTATTGTTTCAGGATGTATTTTAAGTGTTAGTACAAATTTTTTGGAAATAATACAAATTATAATAGCGAAAATACATGGAAATAATATAATAGTTTTTTGAATAATAATAATAATAACAATGGTAAAATAATATAGTGCATTAAATATATAATTTTGGTTCAAAATTGAGTAATTGCTCGATTTAAATGATTTTCACCCAAAATACTAAAAACTCTCAACGTTTTCACCTTCTTTCCCACCAATCTAATCAATTCATTCGACAATCCCCAATACGCCTTCATCTTCCATCGCCACATTGCTTCTTTTGCACGTAGCTCATGCTCGTATCGTGGACGTGGATAATGTGCTGTCCAAGCTGCCCAGGATTCCGACACTAAATGAAGTTCTTCGAGTTGTGATCGATGAAATAACGGAATAATTATGTCCTGAAGAACGGTTTGTGAGATGTGATCCATGTCGAGGACTAGTGAGACTAGCGTCTTGTGGCATGTGAGCAGTAGTGAGCGAAGTCCGAATGTTGTGAAATCTTGTGGTGATACTTTTCCGAGAGTTAGGTGTTTTAAATTGCTTTCTGGTAGTTCGTCGATTAGAAAGTCTTGATCATGCAAGTATATTCCTTCAAGTGACATTCTTTTTAGGTTTCGACAACTGGAGAGTAATGCGAGAATCGAGTGGCCTGTTATTAAGACTGGATTTAAGCCGCGGTGTTCAGCAGAGAATTCTATTAGATCCTCTTTTAGATTCGGAATTACGTATTCGACAATTCCTTCATCTGTGAAATTCTCGCCGTTTATTGAGAGACGATTTAATCCACCGGTCATTGTTGGCATTATAATCTCCAATAGTTCATCATTAAATGTCCAGTGATTCGAATCAAGCTTTAATTCTTTCAATCCTTTAACACACAGTAGCTTACCAACTTGCATCGTCGTCGCTTCTTTCCCAACATGACAAACATGACAAAACGAAAGTTTATCCTCCACATGCAGTTTTTTCAAATTCGGTAAATTCTCTCGAAGAACCTTTAGTGAACGCAATAACCCACCAGGTTTCATATTTGAAATGGAAACAGGACAAATAGTCACACTCCGTATCATTGCACCGTAGTTGAACATTAATTGGTCGGGCGACGACCTAAGAAGATAGAGAAGTGCGTGTTGCTGTGTTGGTTCGATAATGTAAACGTGGCTCCATATATGCGGGACTACCGCTTTTGCCCATGTTCGATTGACGTAGAGTACCTGTGTTTCGAAAACTTGACCGTCTTCGTGTTTTATTACGAATGACAATATGTTTGTAAGTAGGTCGAAAGATATTTTGGAAAGTGGAAATATTATTTTTGATTTGGATATTGGTCTAACTCCGGGCATTTTGCGTCTTTTTTATGTTCTGCTCTTTGGTTAGTTTCGCTTCTTTTCTTGACAACTTTTTGTCTTTTATTTATACAGGAAAAAAATATTTGCTCTTTGGATATATCGCAAGAAACTTTAGTTTACAAGTTTTTTACCAAAAGAAAAAATTGGGAAAAGTTTGGATTACGTTATTCGATGTTGAACTAATATCTACTACAATAAAAAGTTTATTCAAGTACAAAAAAAATTACTCCGACGATTTTATTGAAAAGTTTCAAAAAAAACATTAAAACAATATATACAATACGCGTACAATAATAAATTTTTTGTATAAAATACTAAATATAGTGTCATATAGCTTATGGATTATATAGTACTCTATAAATTTCAGTGTGTGTTACTCTATGTGGTAAATATACATGTGCATTTCAATTTCCGTAGTATCACCATTGACCGAAAAATGTGATTAAATTGAAATGTAAACAACAACAGCACCACCATCATAAATGCGCAGAAATGTTTGACAGAAATTGTCATTACCCTTCTTTCTATTCACAGGTAGGTAGAGTAGGTAAAGTAAGATAATAAAAATAACCGACTATTTGTCCATCGATCCATTCACCCCTCGTGTCCTTCTTGATGTGTAAATTTGGCGTAAAAAATGAAGGGTTAGTTAGTGAATGTGGTGGAACGACACAAAAAGATAGAATATAGGATTAGTTTGAATTATTAGGCGTTAGTTTTGTTACGCTTTCAGCAATTATTCTAGAACTATTTTATACCTTACATGCCATTTCGATTTCCCTCTCACTCCAATTGTTGGGGGGACAGCTGCGGGGTGTGATCCAACATCAACCATTTTCTCGTCGCTGTTCTCTAAAATGGCGTGTTTTGTGTGCAAAAATAATAATGATGATGGTGATGGTGATGATTGATGATGCCTGTGCGTGCGAATTAGTGGTAAGTGCGTGTTTACAGGGTAAGGATTTTCATAATGATAGATAATTTATCGAATGTGTTATTTAGCGTTAGTTATTTGGTGATTCATTCATTAAAAAGATAACATTTGAAATCACCAACAAAAAGTTTATTTAAAGATCTAGTATATAAATAGTTAGTGATACATAGTGGCTATGCTCGACTGCATAATTTCTATTAAAGGGCGTGACTAAAGAATTTCCAAATCTGAAAAAGTGTGAATAAAAAAATTCCTGGGTCATAAATATTCTATTCCCCCAAAAATTTATTGATTAAACCCAAACCGCTTTTACTTCGATAAGCTAAACAGGAGACTAATTTAAAAGTCACGATAAACCGGATTTCTTAATGTAACCGGATTTTAGGAATACTCCGATTTTACACATGTACATGATTAATTCACGTGAGTAACTAATTTGATGATGATTGGAAACATAGTATCAAAGAAAAGTGGGCCAATCGTTGTCATCCGAGAAAAAGCACAGGCCATTTGTTGAAGATTGTTATTACATTTAGAACGGATATTAAAACGGATATTAAAATGGTAATAAATAAATAAATAAATAATAAATTGGAAAAGTCTGGCATTGATGTAAACTGTCAATATTAGATTGAATTTCTATTTTTCTATTAAAAGAAAGTTTATTTGGTGATTCCGATAATAACAATCTTGGCAATAACAAACAGAACAGGTGTACGAGTGTATGTTGTTTCACAAGTCAAACAATCTTTTTAAAGACTCAAAAATGTGGCGATTTATAATTGGTTTGATGATTGCTAGCAAATGAATCAATATCTCAATAATAAAGTCGGCGTACGTGGAAAACACACCCCGCAAACACAAAAAGCTTGATTAGGCAGGGTCCATATTATTAATATTGGATGAATTTATATTGGATGATTAACGTCAATATTGAATGATATTTTTAATTTTTCATCTGTGAAGAAGCTCACCATTTGTTTATATTATATATGATATCTTTTATCACTTTTGCTGGCTTCTTGTGTGATCAAATTCTTCAATATCGAATTCCATCCCTTGCTTTGCATACATCAACTACGTACTTACCTTGTGACTGCTCCTATGACCGAAAAATAGCAAATTCTAGCGTATTTTATCGTAGTCAATAACTAAAATTATCGATAGTGGCAATTAAAAATCGTAAATAAACAACTGTATTTTCTTATTTGGAAGTAAGGAGCGAATCGTGCAAGTGTAATAAACTTTATCTCTCCTCTCGTCATCTACACGTTTACTTACTATACCAGTCTTCTGCCATATGTTAAAACTGCAAATACAGGATTGTTTCTCTTAATTAAAAGAAGCGAGATTTTCGCTGAAAAAAATTTAAGTGATAGAAACAACTACAAAAAGCAAATCCCGAAAAAAATGCAGGATTCTATAATGCATATTCTTCTTTTTGGTGGAGATGCGAAACTGAAAATGCCACTTTTTCGGTCAAAAGAAGAAAATTTTATTTTAGTATGACGTCTCGTGATGAAAATCTTATTAGAATTTATTCCTTGAATAATGATAAATCAATGAGGAAAATTGGTTGGCAAAGTACCACCAATATAATGTGATTGTGATGTTTTAAGATAATTTTATAGATTGTGTCCAAAGTTTATTTCTTTCTCCTTTCGAGTTTATAGCATTTTTGATTGTTGTTCTCTAGAACTTGTACTTTCTAGAAGATCATTTTATTTAAAAGCAAAATTCTCGGTAGTTTTTTGAATACAGTCATAATCACATCAAGTTTATTAGCTGGAATAAATTCTGCTTTAAGATCGACTGCCAGCCTAACTTGCTGCGCAGCCTGTCAAGTAGAATCTGTGCTGGTTCCTGATCACATGATAACAAAGCAATAAGAATGAGCAAATTATGTGTGCCGACAACTATTAAAGATTGATTTTACCGTTTGGGTTAGAATAAGGGTAAGAGTGAAGGACTGGAGTATATGTAAAATTGCCTCCCCGACATTTTTTATTAGAGCTTCAAGTTAGATTTAGACATCTGTTTCCCGTATTTTTCACATTTTTCATTTTTTGTGTCAGATTTGTTTTTGTCGGGCTGATCAAAAATTTGCGATTTCTATATTTAATACTAGTTTACAGAAATTCTATTCACTGAATTCTAATTGGCCGATACTAAAAAGATCTAATAAACACGTTTTTGAATTTAGTTACCTTTTAATTTTGGCAATTTGGCCAGCATTATCATGTGATATTATGCAACATACAATTGATTTTGGGAGGCAATTCTAGCCCTCCACTTTGACCTTAACCCTAACGCTAATAAATCAACCTTTAACACTGTGATAAACACGCATCACATGTCCACCAGGCTTTAGCCACCCTCGATTAAGGTTAGGGCTGAGATACGCATATAAATTTGCCTCCCCGATGTTTTTAGTTAGTAGATTTAGGCACCTGTTTCTCATATTTTCGCATTTCTTGTATTTGTGTCGGATTTGTTTTGCCGGTCTGATCAAAAAATTACGCATTCTTATTGGCTGCTGGTCTATGATCGACAAAGCTTCTGATGCGCACAGATTCTACTTTTGCGTTGATGAATCAGGCGCAGCGTCCTCGGGTGCTTGCGCATACGGATATATCAGAAATTACTAAATTTAGTTAATTCGCCGTAAAACAGAATGTTCCTGTAGAATTCATATAAATATAAATGATTTAAATACATGTGATAGAATCAAATACGACTACCACAACCAAATTGACGGTTAGTGTTTCCGTTTTTTGGTAGAAAAATTAACTTGCAGAATCGATCTTTTGCAAAGAACGTCTTCGAATGGGAGAGATATTTTGACTTGGGAGTACCTAAACTGTCTCAATTAGTATGACGAAATCAAGTTTCAATATAGTTCATTAATTCCCAAGATTTTTATTGAAAACATTTTTCAACAAATCACACAATATTCATTGTTCATTTGGCATTTGGGCATGATCTTGCTTTAATCTGTCATCCGTCAGATCAGCTTATCAAGGTTTTCAATACAGAGTGACGGCAAAAGACGATCATCGAATCAGTGTTTTCTACCCTGTACAATCATCCTGAGGTAAAGCTCCTCTGATAAAAAAGAAGTCAGAATTAATAGCGGAATAATATTACAATATCAAGTAGCACAATTACTACCGCGAGAAGAACATCAACAAAATGATGAATTAATCATTAACATATGATTCTGACACCAAAAATGATGAGAATTTAAAATCCCCAAATCTAAATATTTGTAAGCAATGAAAGGTTATAATACGAAGACCATTCCCTATGATAATCTGATGTTTATCACCAACTTCTAATGAATCAGAACCGCTCGAGTAACAACCAACAAAAATAGACATCAAAATTGTGATTTCACCAAATATCCGCAAATCAGTGCTTTAAGAGGAATAATCAAAAACATTCGAACGATAGCCAATAAAAAGGGTAAACACTCAAATCTGAAGAACACAAATGACGACGCATCAACTAAAACCACACAATTTCTCGTATAATCTCGATTATTAGCACCTGTAATATTAAATTCCCCATCAGCGGTTTTCATGACATTATTACATACGGGTATCTATCTATTGGATTCGAATCATTTGAAATCAGATTTCCCCTTAGAAGCGGTCGCTGAGATAAATGTCTTAGAATGTCAGACTACTCCTAATATGACAACAATTCAATAAATGTGTTTTCATTAATATCAATAACTTTTACCCATCTATATTGAATAGTGCCTTACTACTTGGATAACCGTGGTAATTCTAGAGCTAATGCATGCAAAAAATCACGACTTCTGGAAGGGATGCATTTATTAGATACAAAACCAATTTCGTCTTTGAGCGAGTCCCTTGATGATTCATGGTAACTTTGCGCCGGCGATGCTTCATTCAAATTCTGCTCTCAACTTTCTATGGTAGGAAGAATCTGTGGTAGTACTGACAGCTGAATGCAGCAAATATCAACGAGGAGTGTTGTACCAACTACAATCAAAAAAAGACAAACGACAATAGTCTTATTGATATTTCTACCT